ACTCTCTGAGAGCCAATGGTCCAGCCATGGGGAAAGAGAGGGAGAGCGTGTGCAGCACCTAAGTTGGCTATAATGAATACCAACTACACTCATAATGTTTTAATTCTTCTATACACAGATTAATGCTTGTCTATTTATTATTTATGATGGTTTCTTGTCTCTTGAAATAGAAACTGCAAGAGGCAGGCAGAGATGGAAAGATGGAATTATTATCATCTAACTTTAATATAATTCTCACAACTCTTTGTTCCCTTAAAGTGGTATTTCCAAATCCAGATTACTCTGTTGTACACAGGCACACACCTCAAAAACCTGCCACTGAGACCCCATCTCATTTTCCCTTCCCTAGCAGCAGAAAGAGTTGTCTCTGATAAGGCTACTCTACCTTAGGTAAGCCTTCACAAAAAGCCAAACTTCATAAAAGGGAGTTCTAAAGCAAAATTTGACATCAAGAGAAAAATCTTGATGTCCTTGGGAAAGTCCTTGGGCACTGTATTGTACTAGTCTGCCATTTATGAGGCTGAGACCTGAGAGAGCAAACCCTGTTTAGCTAACATGGCCAGGGAGAATGGAGAAACTGATTCAATGCCAGCATTTAGCTAGGTTGAAGAGATATTCCTGAGAAGAGGAAGGTTCCTGCAGTTTAGCCCCTGCAGAAAAAAAGTCCATGGGAGAAGCTGCCTAAGGGTGACCAGAGGAAGAGATTTGGTCGTGGCACCTGGTTGTCTTGTATCTGCTCAGATAGCAATTTTACAACTTGCTCTCCTATAAGCTGAATTGGCTTATGAATTCATCCATTTTTTTCAAACATCCAAACATTCTGAGGCAAGACATTTCACAGCTTAATCAAAAGTTTAGCAAAGGAATATCTACTCCTGTTTTTGAGCTGTCACTAAGTTAAGATGTGCCTTGTTCTTTTGATGAAAGAGACAGTGAAGAGCAAATCCCCACTCAGCACCTCCCCAAACACAGGATTTTTATAGACCACTATCATGTTCCTCTTCTATCTTTTCTGTGTCAGGCTTAAGTGTCTGTGTTCCACATACAGGATCCATTTCATGCCCTTGATGCTCCTCATTGTTACTCTCCCTGTACATTTGTGGTCGTGCTCTGTCTTTCCAAGCCTGAGGGAGAGCAGAACTGCAGACACCATGTGCCTGGAGCAGTGAAAGCCACCTCAGTGCACACCACTCTGTACATAACATTTGGATTGTCCTTCTCATGTAAATCACTTGACAGTTGCCCGTGTTGAATTTCACATGACATTTTATTGCCTCATCATTCCATGTCACGTGTTTCTCCCACAATTAACCAGAGCTGACCTTTGTCTTTTAACTATCAGCACACGCTGTCACCTCAGTACTCACTCTCCTTCACAGGTCTTCTATGACAGATGAAGAGCACAGGTTCCAGCACAAATCCCCATAAGCTGCCACTGGTGACCTCTTCCTACTCTAAATTGCAACCATCTACTACCTACCCTTATTTTCATCTCTACCAGCCTCGTATGAAGGAGCTTATCAAACATCTACCAGGAATCCAAGCAGACTACAGGAATCTACCCTGTCTACAGGCTTGTCATCTCCTTCTGAGAACTCTCAACATCATGATTCCTTTCCTCTAAATATCATGTTCATCTGCTTAAATTTTCTACAGATTTTACTGTTCCATACCAGGTTTACCAGCCATAGCTTTCTGAAATCTTTACTTTGCTAAAAATACAATGATGTCTTCACATTTCACATCTTTCTATCATCTACTATTGGAGTAGTCTTACATAGAATTTCGTATCACAATGAGTTATTCGACTATTTAACCCTTTAGTCCTTCTAGAGTTCGTAGGTGAATGAAGGCTGGTCCTGGCTGTACATAATGGTCCACGCTGTCAACTCCTCCTGCAACCTCTTCTACTGACCAGGTATTGAAATACTGACCTGACACACTGCCAGGGAAGAAAGGTTCCAGCACAGAAATTTCTCCAAGCTTGCTTTACTTTGCAAAACATTTTTCCAGATTTTCTGCTCTCACCTCATCTTCTCTGAGCGTTCCTTGTATACTCAGACCATTTATTAGCCTCACAGACTATATCTTACATGAAGTCTTGTTCCAGGAACAAGTTACTCAAAAGAGTAATTAAGAGAAAGACAGTACTCCTGGTGCAAGTATTTCTAATGTCTTCAAAGACCCTGAACTGACACTAGAGGAGTCCTAGCAAAGCCATGTTTTGCTGTTCACCCAAAGAGAAGGCCAGAAGCATATTCTCAAACTGGTGGAAACAATACAGCTCTTTTTATGGTGTATTTACTGGCAGCTCAAGGGTGGGGTTTTTTTTGCTTGCTAGTGCATTGATTTAAACATGATAAAACCCAATCCAGAGAACTATAATAAAATTAAAAACTGCAATGAGAATCCTGTTTATCAGACCCTCTGAAAGTATCCAAGTGCCCTCTCTACTAATTGAATGAACAATCCCCATTTGTGAGTAATAATTTCTTATTGTTTCAGGCTGCATCTGTGTGTCAAATTGTTTTTAAAGGTTGAATTTGTTTTTCCTAAAGAGCTTGAATGCCAATTAGCACGCAGCATAAATATCACTCAGCCTTCAAATAGTGTTATGAAATGCAAGAAGCACCGAGGAAACAGGAACTGCAGCTTTTGCCAGTTCCACAGCCTGAGTAACCTTAAACTGAAGTTCACAAGAGATCCACCAGATTAATTGGGGTGATCTATTTTCTGATACAGAGTTAAGAATAAGGCCCTATTTTGAGTTCAGAGTCATTTACTACTGCTGATAATTAATCCTCTGGTCTCCTGGGAAAGGAGAAAGTGTAAAGAGAAATGCATCTTCAGGCGTCACCAGGACAGGTTTATTTCTCATGTGGGGAGAACTGGTGACAAGCCCAGCCTATAAAACAGATGATAAAAGGAATAAAACTTGCCAGCGAGCAGGCCCCATGACTGTGCCGCCGTGTAGCACTGCTGGCAGCACAGCCTGCCCGGGAAGTCTCCTGCTTCTAGTGCAATCCCTACTGTGACAGAACCAGTAAATACATACATGCATGATCACACATGTGAATTTAAACTTTTATTTTCTAATTTGCCTATTTAATATGTTAATTAGAAATATATATTTCAAGGTTTGGGGTTTTTTTTATGTCATTGTTGGGGTGAAGATCTGCATTCTTTTTCCTTTCTTTTTGCTTTTTAATTCAAAATATGAGGGGTCTTGTTAGTCTTCTCTCTGCTACTTTTCCCAGCTTCATACCCCTTTCAAACCTGAAACTTTTTCCACATGTCTCCAGCTCTGGGAAAATTACAGACAGGTATAGGAAAAAAACAACAGCTTTCCTCTTCATGTCTTCCTAAACATGTATATCAGCAATTTAAGTGGCTTTTTTCTTTTTTTTTAAAAAACAAAATAAGATAGAAATTAAACCTAAATTTTTATTTAATTTTTTGTTCAGAGAGTTGATATAGAATATGTTTTTCTTGGTTTTGCTTTTCTTATTTTGTTTTTGACAGAAAGCTGTTCGTGCTGAGACTTAACTGTGTATCCAGCAACATGTTACCAGCAAATGGGACTCTGAAATGCAAATACTCATTAGAAGTACTGATATTCTCCATGCTTCCTCCCCATTACTTTTCAATCAGTATTACATTCAGTATACATTAATATTTATTGGCATTGTTGCCAAAATCTTCAAAAAAATGCTTCTACAATTAATTTCTAATGCAAATATAGAATTGAAATATTAAACTTGAAAGTTATTGTTGAATGTGTTGTATTTATCTCTGAATATCTCAGACATAATTAAGTTGAACTTATTTACACATGAGAAATCTAAGCAGAGCTGTGTGGGAGTCAGAACTCCCTTTCATGGGACAACCTATAATTGTAACATCCCTCTTTGTTCCACGTTGGAATTACTCCATGAGTCCCTATAAAACAATGTTCAATCATGAAAATTGCTTTAAAGCAGGAAAACAGAATGCTAGAACTTTATCTTTTAAAACTGCTACAGATGACAAAATACACTTCAAAAAGAAACATCATGAAAGCCAACACAATCCCATGGAATGTCTCTCTTTTGACAAAAAGACATCTTTGGAAAACACTCCCTGGCACGCTTCCAACCAGCTCTCACTGCAAAAACTGATGTATACTTTGACAAAGATAGTAACAGATAGAGTTGTATTCTGAATACCTCTTTTTCTCCTCAGGGCAATGTTGCCTCATGTTATACAGAGTAAGAGAAATGACAGCAAGAAGTTCAGCTCATGGAGAGTACAAGTGTATTTTCCAGTTTGGGTTCTAAAGGGTGATGGGAAGGACTGGGATAAAGTACAGAAGAGAAAAGAATTAGCTGACTAGAAAGATCTTTTCACCCTACAGAGCTTCTAGCTGCTCTAGCAACATGGAACAGCGCATTTATTAATTGTTACTTTATAAGAATTCCTGCAGAACATGCTCTGGTAAGAACAAAGGGCAATTCTAAAAACAGTTGTTATTCAAAGCGCTATGTCAGAAAATCTGAAAAGAAATGGCAGGGAAATTCTTTAAAAACATAACGGCTTGGTCACTGAATTTTTCTGAGATGTTTGCAGGGAGAGCTACATATTTTCTAATGATGGCTAACCATGTTGTTCAGCTCTGCAATAATGGGTCTATAAATGGCAGACTGGAAGGAATCTCCAGTCAGTCACAGAGACAGTGCTTGCTAACAGACCTCTAGAGGGTAAGATCTCACTACAGACAAAGAGCTGTCTCTCTATAGTTAAAGGACTATACCAAGCAGCCCTTCAAGAAAGTGCTCCACTCTAGTTAATACAGATACATAAAACACAGCGTTAACAACTTTCTATTTTAGCAAAACCCTTGCTCAATTAAGCATCAAGTTCACCATGCAGGAGAAACAACTTCCCAGGATGCTCCCAAACCAGCAGAAGGACATGAAGTCACCTTTTTCACCATCAGAGAAAACTTTCACCAGTAACTTTACCTTTCTACGACATCCTCTCCGTTCCAGCAGGTTGAGCTGTCTCTCATCACCAGGTCTCCATCACACAGCCTTTCTGCTATAGAGGCGTGAAAGGTTCGGGATCGCTTCATGTAATTGATGAACTCTCTGTAAAGTAGGAAGAACACATTTAAGAACAGAACAGTACACTTATGGTTTAAGTCCCTGTCAATTTAACCCACCACAAGATAAAGAGTTTATAATCCTTTCAGAAACTAAGTCATCCAAGTTGATTAATTTCTATTTCTACTGTATTTCTACCCCTACGTATCATCCAGTCTTACTTAGTCCAGTGTTAACACACAACTGCATAAAAAGGGTGGTTTTAAAAAATTACCTTAACACATCTCACACAGAATTTGAAAAAGCCTACACCTACTATCACTGTACAAAGAGATTAAAAAATCGTAAGAAAGCATTAAAGGAGAGGGCTTTTTCTCTGTTACTGGAAGGGAGTATTTCTCCATTTTCTGCACACGTGTGAGATGAATTAAGAACCCTGTCAACAACCTCCTGAGTGGAAAAAGCTTCCTAAATCTAACACTCCATCACAAAACCTGCAATATGCTGTAAGGACCCCACACATACAACAACAGTACAGGAAGTCATCTCCTTGAGATGGTCTCCTTGGTGGGACCAATTCCTCCCAATCATCACTATTTATGTCACATTATTATTAGAAAGAAATTTCTCTCTCCTCATGTCTGGCAACTCACCTGCCTGCTGCTTTGGTGAATAACCAAAACTCCTGATCAGCACAAACAGCTCATTTCTGACCATGCGTCTATAGAAAAATGCCTTGTGGGCAAACTGCTGCCTCTTTTATAATCTGATTGTACCCATAGTATAGTAGCTATCTGGCTGAGGTAGCCATAAAAATAAACTGTAACAAAACAAGTGCTAATTCAGCACATAATTGAGAGTATTTCAGAATGAGAAACTGCCCTGTCTCCACAGCTTTAGAAGCTCTGATTTGGTTTAAGATGTTGTAGGTATTAAGAACAAGACACAGGGCACAAAAACTGAGCTAGATCTATCACAGAGCTATCTGCTTGTCTCAGAAGTCCCTCAACAGCCCCACAGGGAAGGCCAGGCCAAAGGGCTCACTCTGGTTTATAATGTTTCTGCCTGGTGGGCTGTAAGAGGACACTACGCAGAAGAAGTGCCTGGGGATACGGCTGGATGGAGCTTGGCACAAAACCAGTCAGGATTTATTATTCTTTTGGGAGCAACAGGTGCTTTAAACAATATCAACATCCACTGCAAGGTCCCTACCCCTACAAGGTTTGGCAGTGGTCATCCCTCCACACAGCTCTCTATGCTTTCTCAAAAACAATCATCCCGTTTATCTTGTGTGATGAAATCCTGCTCTCACTAAATTAGTCATCACATGGTCCTAAGGAACTAACTTACCTGGCAATTCAGGAAAGCTGTCATATTAAGCAAAGAAAAAAGCAGGAATTTGGGTGCTTATGACAAAGGTATCAGTATTTCTAGTTCTTGACCACAAGCTTACAAATAAGAGCTGTAAGTATTTATACAGTACAGCTAGGCCCAGACAGAAAGCCACCTACCTGATGGAAAAGCCTAAGAGTATCAATTATGAAAGGTGACACAGATGCTAAAGATTTTACGGGTTCTAAAATGCAGTTTTCTTTGCAGGAGAAAAAGAACACCCTTTTAGGAGTTTAAAGCCCATCTTAGCTCACCCCAAGAGGCTTAAACTCCTTTGCATTTTCAGCAGAGTGGGGTTCTGACATTTCAAAGTAGCATCTTAAAGACAGAATTCTGTGTCCAGCTCAATCTTAACAAGGGAAAATATTTACTTTTCATCAGTCTAAACCTAAACACACTAGATAGAAAATGTACAGTCTCCCAGTGCCCCACAGTATAAAAGCAGTCATCAAAAGTATGCCGCCAACTAGATTACAGCTGAAACAGCAGCTTACAATGGAGATGTGCTACGTGTAGAGACAACAAAGTATGTCACCTTGTTTTCATTCTTACCGAGAGATTTTTTTCAAACTTCTTGATTTGTCATTCTTTGAAGCTTTCAGAGGCAGAGAACTGGAATAGGCCGGGGAGAATAAGCATCAACCAGGAGAGGTTGGGGAGTAGGGGAGAAGCAGGAATTCAGGCAAATGAGGAAAAGAAATGAGAAACAAAAGAGAAAAGTAAAAATTATTTGAAAGAAAGGTCATCAAGCACATGCATAGGATTATATAAGAAAACAAATAAGGAGGAAAATTGTCATGAGATTTTTCCAAAGTATAGATGCAATTAAAAATGTCAATGCAATACTGAAAAAAATGCAGCTGAGATTGTTTCTCTCAATCATTTTCAAATAAGAGCACAATTACAAATGCAGCACACGCAGCAAAAAGCTGAAAATAAATGCAGTGGTAGTTAAATTAACTATAACTGATACCAAATGGAAGTACTGTAAATATATGAGGCTGTACAAGAAAACAATGGCAAACAGTTTAGAACATGCGTCATGGGAAGGGGGATACAAATGAGTAGCATTCATTTTCTGATATAATGAGCAATTTGTTGTCTGTTAATAAATAATGTGAACACAGATATTTTTTGCTCTTTGGTTCTGGTCTCATTTCACCACTGAAAAAAAACCCAACCAACTTTCCAAAACAGGAGAGAAGGAGAGACAGGCTCCAAGGTTATACTGGAGGAAAATCTGTGGAAACAACTGTGGGAGTTAATTTAATGCAAATATATTTTGTGGCACTGATATCCCAAGGTCCCTTAATTAACGTTAAACATTGTATTTAACATTAACATCATGATGCAATTTTCCACTTACATGATTTGATACCACATTCTGCTCTTTCTTATACCTATACTCTCATGTATAAAGCAACAGCAGCAGCTGGAGCAGTGCATGACCCCCCGAAATACACGTTCAATGGCACTTGCCAATCCAGTTAGTTCACACTACAGAGAGTAAGCACCACCTTCAGCAGCTCTGAGGACACCTGGACAATGGTGGTTTTGGCATCGTACTTGCTGGAAGCTAATGACAGGGGTGGCCACAGGAGAGAATGGACCTGCACTGGCCATCAGGTGAGTGTCACCTGTCACCACCGAAGCAGTGATTCCAACACAGGCAGCCAAAAATGGAAATGAGAATTTGTAAGAGGGAAAATCTGGACCTGCTGAAACTTCTGCCTTGGCCAGTCAGTCAGAATTGTTGACTTGTTTCCACTATAAGTTGATTTTCATCTGGCACTAATAACCTGTTTTGTACTAGCAGTTTAATACTCAAATTTTACTAATACCATGTGATGCCTGACTCAATAGATAGTTAATTTTAAATAAAATAGATGCTATTGAGTTCAAACATTCCCCCTAAACCCTCAAAATTGTTTATTTTAAGATGTGTAAGAGATCCCTAAAACTACAGTATAGCAAAGAAATCCCAGCAAAATACCATTTCAAAGCCTGCCTCCTCCAATTCAGGACCTAGTATTATGTTATGGTTCTTTGCTAAACATAACAATTTTACAGAGAGATCTAAGCAGTCTATGTTTAGTGGTTTGAAATATTGCATGCAGGAGATATGCTAGAAGGCCAGTATTTTTGCTACTCCTCTTTGCCAGGAGTCCGGATCCTGGCCAGAATAATACTTTGTACTGAACTCAGCACTGACGTTACAATTTACTGATTGAGATTCTGTACATGCCATGTACATGCCATGTACCATCATATGCTTTCCATTTTCTTGTCATCTCTACCACATGTTAGAGTAACCTCCATATTAAAAAATGACTACCGCAGCAATTCTGCCAGTTTCCGTTAATCCTTGAATATGATTGTGTAATGCAAAAAAAAAAAAAAAAAAAAAATAAAAATTACTGATCAAACTTACACTTTTCAGCTTAATCAGAGCAAAAGATTTCCTACAAGATCATAGAACATTTATTAAAGTTTCAGCTTCTTACACTATTTTCCCTGACAGTGTTGCATAACAAAAAATATGCAGCAATGGAATGTAGGGGAAAATAAAGAAAGATGGGAAATTTTCCAGGAACCCATGAGAGTAAGAGGAGCAGAAAAGGGTTCAACTACCACAAAAGAGGATTCAGTTGCCACATGAATTCAGGGACCATGCAGGACTACACTGTGCAGAACAGCGGAGGGCGAGAAGGACTGCCTCCAGCCAGACTCAAAAAACACACACCCAGAAAAAAGATGTCAGGCAAAGAGACACCATCTTAACAGTCCCACTCTTCAACCGCATGAGCAGCCTTGGCTCTACTGAACAGCTGAAACCAGAGGTTCTGAAACCCTTTGGATCAACAACAACAACAACAACATCTTAACACTCTTCAACTGCACAAGCAGCCTTGGTTCTACTGAATCGCTGAAACCAGAGGTTCTGAAACCCTTTGGAAAAGAAGCTTGATTTTGTAACTGGCCTTGCAAAGATGTAATATCTTTGGAGCGAACATATATATGTAGACACAAGCTAATTGGCACTAGGTTTTTTGGGAATATCTAAGCAGGCATTACAGAAGAGACAAGAGGACACATTTTATTGAAGGGAATCTCTAAGCAGGCACTACAGAAGAGACAAGAGGACACATTTTATTGGAGTTTCTGCTACGGATGTGGTAACCAGAATGGTTCTTCTCTCAGAGCTTGGGAATATTCTGACACATTCAGGGAATGAGCCACAGCCTTTCTGTTTACTTCTGATTGCTGGCTCATTCCTTCTCTTTTTCTCTCCTTATTCTGAAAGGCCAGAGTCATGTTCCATGACCCCTTTGAGTTAAGGATAATTTGGAGGGATGTCTGCTACGCAGACCAACAGACAGACTCAGTGATGCTGATTCCCTGTGTGACCTTGTACCTAAACTGACAGCGAGCTGACGTTACTGCTCTTCATTCTTCAAATCGCCAGAAGGAATGGCACCAAAAAGATTCACTTAATTACTCTCATAATGGTGTTTCTGCTACAGATGTGCTAACCAGAATGGTTCTTCTCTCAGAGCTTGGGAATATTCTGACACATTCAGGGAATGAGCCACAGCCTTTCTGTTTACTTCTGATTGCTGGCTCATTCCTTCTCTTTTTCTCTCCTTATTCTGAAAGGCCAGAGTCATGTTCCATGACCCCTTTGAGTTAAGGATAATTTGGAGGGATGTCTGCTACGCAGACCAACAGACAGACTCAGTGATGCTGATTCCCTGTGTGACCTTGTACCTAAACTGACAGCGAGCTGACGTTACTGCTCTTCATTCTTCAAATCGCCAGAAGGAATGGCACCAAAAAGATTCACTTAATTACTCTCATAATCTAGATCCCCTGTAGCAGTTATCTGTCACTCTAAGTGCATTTTACACAACCCACTGCAGGAATGATTTCACCCATCCATTATAAATTTTATTACCTAAAATTGCTTTTTATTGATATCATATGTGATTAAATGTTAGATGATGAACAACACAGTGATGTAACCAACCACTGTGTATTTCACTCTATTTACTATTTCACAATCGTTTCCAAGAAGCAAAGTAGAAGCTTCATGCCATGTGTTTTATAGGAAGTTAGGGAAAATTTAAAAATATTCTCCACTTATTATTACTTATGGCATGGCTCCATCATTCATTTTTGCTGCACAGGCTCTCCACAATACCTATCAACAATATTTCAGTAATAACTTATGCTAATTATGTACGGATGGCCTTAGTTTAGATTTTTTTGATAAATTACTTTTCAGTGCACAGACTAATTTTTGAGAACCGCCTAATTTAGAGTATATTAGTTTTAGTATATTTTCTTTTCCATCTACAGGACTTGCATTTTAAAAAGTCAATATCCAAATAATTCTAGATGGTTGGGAATGGGAGGGAGTAGATCCTCAGGTGAGAAAGAGCTGCAGTCGTGCCATTAAAGACACCAATTTGCATCTGTTTAAGAGGTTACCTCTTAATAGGTTGGCAATTCTGCCTTTTTGGTTGCCAGTGTGTAAGTCCCAGTGAAGTCAATGAGTTACACAGAAGATGGCCTAGGGCTCTGTGTTGTTTCATTAATCGTACTACAACTGTTCTTTGGATTATTACTGCTGAATTTATTAATTTAATTCTCTTAATGCTCTTTTCTCTGACTTGCATGGTATAAATTGATTAGCTCCAAGCAGGAGCACAAACTGTTGTGTTTTGATTTTAAATTACAAAAGGGATAAAAGTACTGCTATCATTCAAAAAACTTAGCTTGCTCCTATTACTTTTATCTTTTAAAGCAGTGTTTGTTTCATTCATGCAAGATTAGATGAGAATTGAAATAGAAATAGATAAATATCTCATCTTCACAACTCAAACTCCAGAATCCAGGCTGTGGAAATTTTAGTATTTCTGTCTGTCATCCACCTGTCCATCATACAGAGATACACATGGACTCCCTGGGCTCACCAGACACCGTTCTCAGACAGAGGTGTAAGCCCAGCACGATTCCACTCAATTCACTGAAGTTGTTCCAGATTCATACTGGTGTTACAGAGAACAACATGTTAGCCAGAAATACGTTGTTGTGATTTTAGGGTCAGTTAGCCCTGACACCTACTCGTGTATCACAAGTGGGATTGCAAAGAAATCCTTCCCACCCCACTCAGAATTTACAGGAAACCAATCCAGGAGCTACACAAGGAGAATGAAAGACAGACTAGGAGGTCTGGGAGCAGGAATACTCCTGCCAAGGTCAGTGGCAGCAATTCAGCTGCCTAGTGTCTCCACTGGCATGCAGCTGAAGAACAGAAGCCAAGGCAGACACAACAAGCCTAAACATAAATGTTTCTGCTCTCTCTCTGTTAGCTAACAAATCAAGGAGATTGCAAGGGATCTTATAACTCGTCCCCAGCCCTGTGGAATGAGGGACTGACTTTGTGTGAGGGCAAGGAATCTCTGCTTTTCACCCTTTCCCCCTTCCCACCTCTGCCCCTGGGTAAGGTCAAGTCCTTAAAGGCCTAGGCAGCTTTATTTTAAGTAATTTAGACTCAACTCTGGAAATTACTCAGACTTTTTCACTGAAAGCTTTTACCCTTTTCATTGAAAGTTTCTGGAAATAATGAACACATTGGTGCTAAGTAATAACATCAAGTCCAGCCTGTTAAAAGCTTCTCTTGTAGAGACCTGCAGCGTAATGCCACAAACACATCTGCATCACTATCAGTGATGGCAACGGCTGGAGAGCACAGAGACAGGGTGACAGAACTGCAGCTCTGGACTGAACACTACATTGCAAGGAACCATTTGCACTAAGTGTGAAGCACAGAGTTTATTTCAAAGCAACTGTTGCTTAGGGTTACCTTCTTTTATTGTTCAGACTAGCGTGAGCCATCACGAATGTCTGGGTTTCAGTCACTTCCTTCACTGGCACTATATTGTCCGATGACAGGTTCCCTTCTTGTTGTTTGGGCTGTCCACACACTTTATCAACCTGTGTGAAAGGAAAGGAAAACCAGGTTTGAATGGAGAAACTGATTTACAATTGCCCAAAGGTCAGCTTGTTCCTTGGGGTCTGTGTTTACTGCAAGAGAAGGTATCTGGGCCAAAGAATGAAAGGATTCTTCTGTCCTGGACCTGGAAACTAGTTCCCTGCATAAAAAATGATCAAATTAAGAGGCAGCGCGAAGAGTACTACTACCAGAAAGCCAACAGTCATGGGTTTGTCACTGGGTACCCAGACTATAGCACATCTGGCTGGAAGAGTTACTTGACTGAAGTGTTGCTGACTCAAACTTTTATTTAGAAACATACCTGGAGTTTGAAGGTATACAAATTTTGGTGGAACATCTGCCCTATATATAGACAGCAGAGTCTATCTAGTGTTTGAAGGGGCTTGTAATAATAAATAGCTGAGGCTTTCAGCCTTTAACTAGACAATATTCCCTTGAATAAAGGAAATAAGCAAAAGAAGTCAGCATCAACAAATTACTGTCGAGTACTGTGGACAAAACAGAATGAAAAGAGAATTTCTAAAAAGGAAATAAGCAAAAGAAATCAGCATCAACAAATTACTGTCAAGAAAGTCTTTTATTGGACAAAACAGAATGAAAAGAGAATTTCTAACCCTGAAATCATTAATGCCTTGGATCCTTGGTTCAGAACACTAACTTTTCTCAGCCATTTGCCCTTGTTGCCTTCCTGAAGCCTCTCAGAGGGGATTTAATACAAGACCAGGAGAAAGCAAGCTTGTGTTTATCCTTTGTGCACTGCGGATCTGACACTGCTCGTGCACCTGCCACGTTTATTTGCTGTAACACCTTTAAGTGACAACAGTAAGACAAACCTCTTCCCTTTCTAATCCACAAATAAGTAATCCGTAATGTTTTCACCTATGCTTAAATCCTCATGCAAACATGAAAAGACGACAAAGGAAATCCTACTGTGGGCACAGTACTACCAGAGACCTTAATCATACAGAATCCATCATCCTGCACAGCACTGAATTTGGTATTCCTTCTGCAGTTTTCCATTAGAACCAGGGTGAGATGGATTCTTGTTGGTCTCTACATTTCACTGCATCTTTAAAACCCTTACTGAGCCACAACTGCCTATCTGCTGAATATTTCAGACCGCAGATGACTTCAACTAATTTTCTCTGCCCCTTTGCACCACTGTGTTGTATTTGTCAGTACAAGCACAGGACAATTTTCTTACCTTAGCCCATTTCCTCCAGGAAAACTACTGCTATGTAAAGCTAAGATATTTTCCTCTAAAAAAACAGGCCAATTGCACAAAAAGAATTGGAAGCTGCATAGGCGTGACACTTAACATCAACTTTAGTTATATGAATTAAGCCTAGTCCAGTGTAATACGCTCTGAAGAACCTAAAACTGTAGAAATTGAATACAAACACACTGGATTAATCCTGACATACCTCCAGCAGTCAGAACGGGAGCCAGCTGCCTCACTCAACACCACGCACTGTGTATATTATTCTGGTTTCACCAGGGACTAGCACAGCATTGCTTTAAAACACAACTTCGGGAAATAAAAATATTCTATTTCAATCCCTTCTAAACTCCTGTAAAGAAAAAAACAACACTCTATGCAAATGAAAATATAAACCAAAAATGCCTTTTGAACCCTTTGGAGCTGGACAGAGAGTATCACACAGTTAGACCACATTCCTGCACAGGATGCTCTCTCCTGTGCCCCAGGTTTCCCAGGTCTCCTACAGCACACAGACCCAAACTCCCAGCAGAGGTTTCTGAGAAGCCCATCTTAGATTACATCATGTCACAAAGGTTCATGTCTTCAAATTACATACACCTCAAATCTAGTCACTAGGGATTTAAAAACAGTTTTAAACAACTAATACCAGAGGGGTTTGGAAAAGCAATGTGGTTCCTATATACATAAGCAATGAAGAACTCCAAGTTTTTTGTTTTTCCTGTGAGAAGTTTCAAAGAGGTTTAGAGTCATCATTATTGTTGTGAATCAAGAGTTTAAGCATCCAAATGAAAATACTCACTTTGTTTTGATTTGTATTTTTGATACCATAGAAAGAAAATTACTCTTTAAATTGCAAAAGTTTCAGTATTTTCTATGCCAAACCTTAACTTTGGGGTTTCCTTTTTAACCTGTAATAAGAATTTCCTGCATATCAAACAAAACCACAGTATTCTAAGGAAAATATATTTCTCAGTGGAAAATTTTAACCAGTTCTGCTCTATTAAAAAGAAAGTTAAATTAAGTTAAATTAAAAATGTGCTAAATGAAAGGGGAAATCACATTCACACTGCACCTCGTGCAGGCCTTTTAGTGCCTTTCTTCTCAACAATATGCTAAGAAACACTAGAAATGCTCTATAATTTAAACTGCTACACAGACATATTAATCTGAAGTGAGATTAACAGGGTGGAAGATACAACAATGATATATCATTTGTAATAACAGCAGCTCTTAAATGTCTCAGTTGAGATCCGGACTGCATTTTACTGGGAATAAAAAAAAATAGTGCGATGCAGTCCCTGTCAAACAACATTTGACACTTAAAGGAACAAAAAATTATGAGAAAGCAGTGGAGAAGCACGAAGTGACTTCTTCAGTGTCAAAGTAGGGGCCCAGGGCAGACCACAGGTCTTGCTCTGTATAGTCAATGCCCTTGTGCAGCTCAGCCCAACAGTCCCCAGCCCAGACCCAGCTCCTGAGACTGGTTCCACCAGTGCAGGGTGGAACACCACCACCAACACCACAGCATGGCCAGGCTGGCAGTTTTTTCTTCCCACCCCTACCAGCATGAAGTTTCTTCAAGGTTAGTGTGGATCATCAGATGTTCTTCCTTCCCAACCTTTTTGGGACAGCAAGGATGAAGGATTTCACCCCTCCACTGCTCTCGTGGTGTGTACAGGTGGTTTGAAAACTTATGCCCATGAAGACTAAACTCCCTCCCAAGAGACTTCTCCCAAGGCTCTTCAGTTACTCCTATTTGGCACATTTGTTTCAGATTTTGGATGAGTTAAACAGAACCTCGATTATTTTTTCTACACGTTTTTTGTGTTGGCTGACTTTGACATCTCACTGAAATTTTTACTTTTCCAGCAAAATAAAATAAAATAAAAGGCTGAATAATACTAGCTAATTTTGGAAGTCACAAAGTTGATGGCAAAGGTGAGACCATTTAAACTTCCAGCTAGGACATCTATGAGAAATGAGTTAATGCTGTGTAACTTAAAAAGTATGAGGCATGACATTTAAAAAAAAAGAAAAAAGGTTGCAGCATCTGGAATCTACCGCTACAAATTACCTGTCTGTTAACAATGGTAAGAACACAGCAGGTTTCCCTCCCATCCTAAGGGCACCAGACAACTGCACTGTCACTTCACCTCAGAGCTCATGAATCAAGCCTCACCACCGAAAAGAAAAATAGTGCTACCAAAACCAGGGACTGGGATTTTAAAGATTTATTTCTTTGTATGCGTCTTACTGCTTTCAAGTTACCTCTTAAACTGAAAGTGTAGACTAAGTGATTTTTTATTTATTTATTTTTAAACATTCCTCTACTGACACTGGACATTAGAATTCGACCCAATAACAGAAAATATTATTATTAATTATCAAGTATTGTGAAAGGTAAGAGAACTGCAAAGCCTTAGCTGCAAAGAACTGGGGATACCAGTGATAAAGCTTAACAAAAATTAGTAGAAAGAGAAAATCCATTGTTCTTCTCCTACATTCAATTTTCAGTACATAGACTAATCAGGAATTAACATAAAGAATGACTAAGCTCATTAATTTCTTTGATATTTAAACTTAAAAATAAGCCTGCCAATCTTGAATTGCAAGCTTATAGAAAATCATCCCTCATTAACCATAGAAACATTAAGGTCATTCCTCCTGTCTCTTTGATAATATTTAACCGAGATTGCCTGTAAACAGCTGAAAACTAGTATTCCTCACACCTCATTATCTTCTGAATTATCAATAATGTTTCACAAGTCTATACACACTTCTTTAGATTAAAGCTTTTCTTTTACTTATACACGAACGATTCTTCTTAAATAGCTGTCTTTCTAACAATCATAGATACATTTCTTCTCCTGTGAACTTTCCTTTGTAATGAAATACAGAGTCATATATATATGGATTATTTGACCTCTTACTATTTGTTCTTTAAAAGAATGACTATTTACAATGGCTACAGAGGCTTAGCAAAATAAATTGAAAAAATCTCATCCGAAATCTTTTGAACTCTTGCAGTTTGAGCAACCTTAAACAATGAGGTCACATTTAATATACCTAATATAATCAAACAAGGGAAAAATGTCATGCCCTTCTGGATACCAAGAGGATCTTATCTCTCCAAAGCAGAAGACCTTTTCACTAGTTCAGAACACTAATTTTCTTTGATTTTGTAATGGGAAGCTTAGTATTTTAAAATACAAGATTTTTCTAGTGATTGGGCTTTGAGTTATTATTAAAACTCTGACACATTTTTCAGCAGATTTCTGCTGCCCCGATCCATAACCCAATTCAGCTCTGCAAAAACCCAGCACCTGGGTGACCACCTCTGACAAATGACACCCCTCAGCCCAGACTCCTGATGGCTCTGCAGGCGGCAGCACAGCCGCACCCCACACCACGTGTGTCACAAACACCTTTCACATCAGAATTGAGAGTTTGCTGGCTCCAGCTGCCAAGTTTGAAGTGAGGGAAGCAGAGAAGTCAGGTTTGAATGTTCAGACTTGCATGTTCACACAAGATCTCATCTCCTTTGGGTCAGACATACCCTTATCACTCGATGACTGATAGCACAAGACACCAACAGATGTCTTGCTTGTCATTTTCTGTAAGTCATCACTGAAGTTCTCCTCCTTTGGAGTGGCTATCACCTGTTACTATAGTATTGTTGCAAAATGTTCATTTCCCAACTTAAAGAAGTTGACCATTACTAGATACCAGAGATTCCACCAAGGAGAGCGGCATTAATTC